CCCCTCTCACTCTCCTCACTTACACATTGTCCCTCTGACTCCTCTCATTCACTCTTCTCTCATTCAATTTCCCTATCACTCCCCTCACTCACTCTCCCTCTCACTCCCCTCATACAACCTCCTCACTCCCCTCATTCACTCACTCAACCTCTCACTCCCCTCATACACCCTCCTTCTCACTTCCCTCACTCTCACTCCTCTCACACACCCTCCTCACTTTCCTCACTCACTCACTCACTCACGCTCCCTCCCTTTCACTCTCCTCACTCACACACTTGTCCTCTCACTGTAGTATCCGCAGTTCCCATAATTAATGCAGAGTATTCAGAGTGACTGCTGGTGTGTGTGTGTGTGTGTGTGTGTGTGTGTGTGTGTGTGTGTGTGTGTGTGTGTGTGTGTGATTAAAGGACTCAACTAGTGTTCACACTACACTCGATCCCTTCACTTCCCAAACTATAAATTTAGGTATCCATTCACAACTGGGTCGGTGACAGGGAGTTACATTGAACCAGTGACCCCTAGACCAGGGGGCGAGCAATGTATCCACTGAGCCACTACCCCCCTACGGTGTAGTGTTGCCTGCCTATTAATGAGATATCCGCCCACTGTAACCCAACACTGTTAAGGGTGACTCATGCGGGTCATGCTGTGGTAGTGTTGGGGCTGGAGGTGTGTTGGTGATGGTGAGTGTTGGTGACTGTTGGTGGTGATGGTGAGTGGTGATGGTGATAGAGAGAGTTGGTGGTGATGGTGAGTGTTAGTGGTGATGGTGACTGTTGGTGGTGATGGTGAGTGGTGATGGTGATAGAGAGAGTTGGTGGTGATGGTGAGTGTTTGTGGTGATGGTGACTGTTGGTGGTGATGGTGAGTGTTAGTGGTGATGGTGAGTATTGGTAGTGATAGTGAGTGTTGGTGGTGATGGTGAGTATTGGTAGTGATAGTGAATATCGGTAGTGATAGTGAGTGTTGGTGGTGATGATGAATATTGGTGGTGACGATGAGTGTTGGTGGTGATGGTGAGTATTGCTAGTGATAGTGAGTGTTGGTGGTGATGGTGAGTATTGGTAGTGATAGTGAGTGTTGGTGGTGGTGGTGAGTATTGGTAGTGATAGTGAGTATTGGTAGTGATAGTGAGTGTTGGTGGTGATGGTGAGTATTGGTGGTGACGATGAGTGTTGGTGGTGATGGTGAGTGTCGGTGGTGTGAGTGTTGGTGGTAATGGTGAGTGATGGTGATGATGAGTATTGGTGATGATGATGAGTGTTGGTGATAGCGAGTGTTGACGATGATGAGTGATGATGAGTGTTGTGATGATGAGTATTGGTGTTGATGGTGAGTGTTGGTGATGATGATGCGTGTTGGTGATGGTGAGTGTTGGTGATGATGAGTATTGGTGGTGAAGGTAAGTGTTGGTGATGGCCAGTGTTGGCGATGATGAGTGATATTGAGTGTTGGTGATGATGAGTATTGGTGGTGATGGTGAGTGTTGGTGATGGTGGTGAGTGTTGGTGGTGAAGGTGAGTGTTGGTGATGGTGAGTGTTGGTGATGATGAGTGATGGTGTGTGTTGGTGATGATGAGCGTTGGTGATGATGAGTGTTGGTGATGGTGAGTGTTGGTGGTGATGGTGAGTATTGGTGATGGTGAGTGTTGGTGATGATGAGTATTGGTGGTGATGGGAGTGTTGGTGATGGTGAGTGTTAGTGATGATGAGTATTGGTGATGATGAGTATTGGTGGTGATGGTGAGTGTTGGTGATGATGCGTATTGATGATGATGATAAGTGTTGATGATGGCGAGTGTTGGCGATTATGAGTGATGGTGAGTGTTGGTGATGGTGAGTATTGTTGGTGATGATGAGTGTGTGTGATGATAAGTGTTGGAGATGGTGAAGGGTCGTGGTGTTGAATATTCGTGGCAGCTGAAGTTGAAGGTGATAAATGTTGTCGATGGTAGTAATGAATGGTGGTGGTTTTAGTGAATTCAGTGTTGGTGGTGGTGGTGAGTGATGATGATGGTGAGTGTGTTGGTGGTAGTGTCAGTCTAAGGGAATGTGTGTCTATGTGTAACAATAATAATATTAATAATAATAATAATAATAATAATAATAATAACAATAATAATAATAATAATATAATAATAATAATTAGCGGAGTATTGAGAGAAAATAGCAGCTAAATGTTGAAAACACACAACTAACAGAGATGACGTAGATTTCAAATGATGACTCTGGAGAGTGGGTTATTTAACAAAACCTTCAGGTGTGTATGTGTCCAGGTAAGAGGTACAGAGTGATGTACAAAGGTGTCTTATGGGTAATTAGACTTTTCACAGACCTATATGTCTGGATAAGGGAGTCTAATACGAACAACGAAATCAATGAGGAATAAAGCAACAAAAAATTTCTCCACAAAGTTACTGAAAACTTACTGAAAATTTTTCCATTAAGCAGAGAAACGGATTATCAGATATGATCGATTGTTGTCCAGGTATGTTGGGCCAGTCACCAACAACTGCCTGCTGGCACTACAGCTCATGCAATTAGCAGTTTGTTGAGAGTTTGGTGGTAAGCGCTCCTGGCCACATGATGACTAGGCAAGATGGCGGTGTTTTGTTTTGCAGTTTCTACTCCTGCAAGTTATAAGATGATATATCAAGCTGGGCAAATAGATTCTGTTCAAAGTGTCTACAATGACACATTATCTTGTGTATAAAATTCATCATAAACTATTTCAGGTGTGGTGGGCTAATTTAACGCAGGCTTCCTGCCGTGTGTGGCAGGATGGAGATAAAGCCGTCATTGCTAAGCTTAACAAATCACACTGGTATAAAAGTCCTCTCCACCGAAATTTCTATTATGCCTTGATTCAGGACCAATACGTTTCCGAAGCCGAATAAATAGGCAGAATATGAGAGGCCATCTTCGGTAAAATATTGTTGTGGCCGCCTGGGACGTGACCACACTCTTTGATGTGAATATATATCTGTAAAAAGGTCGAGGTGTGAACTATGGGAGACTCTCCAGAAGATGAGGGTTGTTACACCACCTGTAGATGACCTTAAAATTGATCAACAGGCAGGTGGTCAGAATGAAGGAATAGGGAGTAAAAGTAGATAATTTTTCTTACCAGGCGTTTGGTTAAAATGTAGGTTCTGAACAGCTTGTATATATATATATATATATATATATATATATATATATATATATATATATATATATATATATATATATATATATATATATATATATATATATATATATATATATATATATATATATATTTATATGTAATATTCAGAAATTTCAAAATACTAAATTCCTCGGAGTTATTGTTGATGAGAAACTTAACTGGAGAAACCACATACAAGCCATTCAAAGTAGAGTCAATAAACAGTGCGGTATATATATATATATATATATATATATATATATATATATATATATATATATATATATATATATATATATATAAATATATATATATATATATATGTAATATTCAGAAATTTCAGTGTAATTTCAAACGCCGCGCCATTGGCGATACTGAGTTTTCAAGGTCGTCTGAGGGAAGAGAGCGCTCCCCGTACATAGTGAGAGGTTGTGCAACTAGGCCTATATGAGATTAAATGTAATTTCCCGAATTAATAATGATGCGATTCATGAAGTTAAGGGACTATTATTGAATTTGAAATTATTATAGATCGTTTATCAGTCTGAATAATGCTACGGGTGTCCCAAGGAGTTATTAGTTAGGCGGAAAATATGTCACGTAGGCCTAAGCTAACGCCTTGAGAGGACACGAGGCGGGCTAGCTCTCAGTCACATGGAAGCATTCGGACCAACAAGACGTCCCTGCGCGTCCGTCACAGAAATAGTCACGTGGCCTAGTCACCTGTGTTGCGCTATTGCAGTATAACATTGTAAGTCTCATTCGATCTCAGACAGGGTTTAGATAGGGCAGTGATAAATTTAACAAGAGCTAACAGTGAGTTCAATTCAGGGTTTCCATCAGAACCCACTTGACTGCAAGAAATTGACTGCGAGAGTGATGACTGCGAGAGATTGACTGCCATTTGAGACTGCCGTTGATGATTGAGGATTGGCGATTGTCGCTGTTGGACCGATCAGTGTAGGCCTATTCAGGGTGGAGTTAATAAGCTCTGATTTTTATACCATTTTCTCAGTGCTGGATATAATTTTGGTGAGTGCCCTTAAGGCCTATTCCTTGTAGAGTTATTAATTTCTTATTTTTTTAATACCATTTTCTCAGTGATTGATATTTTGTTGAAAGCCCTTAAGGCCTGGTTCATGTGTGCAAGCAACATTTCTTAATACTTTAAACTTATTATCCTCAAATGAAGCATTGCCTGAGTTTCTAATAATTTCAACATCATGTATAACTTTTATTCCCCAGAGTAGTATTTTAAGTTCAGGTAAAGAAGTGAACATATTGGTGTACCACTATTTAATTGTGTTTGTAGTGTTGGAGGGAATATAAGTGTCTAAATTTTACCGTGTGTCTCATATATAGCGTCTGTGACTGGGATGAATGAG